TTTTCTCATTTATCTTGTGATTTCTTCTTTGACTCTTTGCTCATTTAAGTATGTGTTGTTTAATTTCCACATATCTGTAAATTTCCAAATTTTGCTACTGTTGATTTCTAATTTAATTCCATTGTGGTGAGAGAACATACTTTATATGATTTCAAACCTTTTAAATTTATTGATGCTTGTTTCATGGCCTAGTATATGATCTATTCTGTGCCACATGCACTTGAAAGGATTCTGTACTCTGCTATTCTGGCAGGGGAGTGTTTTATAGATGTTGATTAGGTCTAGTTTGCTTATAGTGTTGTTCAAGTCTTCTACCTCATTATTGATCTTCTGCTTAGGTTCTATCAGTTATTAAAAGTGGGGTATCAGCCCAGCCGGGTGTGGCTCAGCAGTTGAGCGTCAACCTAGGATCCAGGCAATCGGGGTTCGATTCCCGGTCAGGGCACATGCCCGGGTTGTGGGCTCGATCAATGACTCTCTCATCATTGATGTTTCTATCTCTCTCTCTCCCTCTCCTTTCCTCTCTCTGAAATAAATAAAGATATAATTAAAAAATAAAAATAAAAAAAATAAAAGTGGGGTATCAAATATTGAATTAATATTGTTTGTCTATTTCCCCTTCATTTTTGTTTGTTTTTGCTTTGTATATTTTGGGGCTCTATTGTCAGGTGTACATATGTTTATAATTTATATACATGTGTATATATGTATATTCCTGAAGGATTGACCCTTTTATCATTGTGAAATATTTTTCTTTGTCCCTAATAACAATTTTATATTAAAATTTATTTTATCTGATATTGATATAGCCATACCAGCTGTCTTTTGATTACTATTTACATTGTATATTTCTCCCATCCTTTTACATTCAATCTATTCATATATTTGAATGTAAAACGTGTCTCTTATAAACAGCATATAGTTGGTTTATGCCCTTTTTTCCATTCTTCCAATCTCTGCTTTTTGATTGGAGTGTTTAATACATTTACATTTAATGTAATTACTGATATATTAAGATCTATGTCTTCCATTTTGCTATTTCTTTTTTACCTGCCTTATGTAATTTTTGTTCCTATATTTTTCCATTACTGTCTTCTCTTGTGTTAAATAGCTACTAATTGTGTACTATTTTAATGCCCTTATTGTTTTTTCCCATTATTAAAAACAATTTTTTAATGGTTGTCCTGGAGATTTTGTCTCACATCTTGAGAATTTTTGTTCCACTATAGCTTCATTGCCTCCTCTACTCATTTTTGCTATTATTGACATATAAATTACATCTTTAAACATTATAAGCCCATCAACACAGTTTTATAGTTGTTGCTGTATGCAGTTGTCTTTTAATCAAATAGGAAAAGAGTTATAAACAAAATGGTACATTGAGAGTGTCTTTTATATTTACCTATGTAGTTACCTTTCTAGTGTTCTTTATTTCTTCATGTGGATTCAAGTTACTGTTTAGTGCCCTTTCATTTCAGCCCAATAGATTCCCTTTAGTACTTCTTCTAGGGCAAGTCTGCTAAAACAGAATTCCCTCAGCTCTCTTTTAAATTCACCTTCATTTTAGAGGGATAATTTTGCTAGATACATAATTCTTGGTTTACAGTCTCTTCTGCTGGAATAACAAACCCATAAGCATAGCTGGAATCACTTAACACTCCTTATTGATAGTGGGCAAAACACAGAGACCCAAAAAAATCAGCAGAGATATAAAATATTTGAACAAAACTATCAATCAACTTGACTTAATTGACATTTATACAGCTAATAACTGAAAAATATACACTTTTCAAGTACATATTTTATGATATATGCTGGACCACACTATACAACTCAATGAATTAAAAAATATTGAAGTTATATAGAGTGTGTTCTATGACCATAATGGAATTAAATTATAAATCAAAAGGAATACAATATCTAAATACTTAAATCATTGGGAATTAATCAATGCATTTATTTCCAAATAAACCCAGTGGTCAAAGAAGAAATCATGGGAGAAATCAAAATATATTTTAAACTTAAAAACACTATGTAAAAATTTTCAGGATCTAGATAAAGCTGTCTTTCTACAGCAATGTGAGTATTAAATGCTTATATTAGAAAAGTAGAAAGATCTCCTTTTGGGTAGTATACTAAGTGAAATAAGTCAGAAAGAGAAAGACAAAT